TAGGAAGCAAATGATTTGTACATGTTTTGTACACTTCCTCGAACCAGCACTACTAATGATTGATTTTGACTGCTCTGCTCCGCCCCATTGACAAGGCTAGCTAGCTAGCTAGAATTCATACAATAGCTAGGGCGGAGATGCTTTTGCAGTTCCTTTTGTTTCCTCCGCGTCTTGTTCAGGAAGGTCACAAAATCAAGATTTGGGACCCTTGCCATGTGGGCACAACAAATATATTTTTCGGACCACACCATCGATGGTTACCGTCATCCATCGATCAGTACACTTGCGCCGATTTGACGGGCTGGACTTGCCTGCTGGTGATGACTCCGTGCACATTGTGGGTGGCGGTCCCGGACTCTGTTTTTGAGCTTGCCAGCCAGCCAACGCAGTGCCCTTTCACGGTGTGCCCGGTGCAGCTGCTATTGTTGCTGTTGTTGCCCAGATTGATAGAAGGCAGAGCAACTAAAAGGAGTACAGCAGAAATCTCTACTTTCTTGTGGAGATTGCTATCGTATCAGTATCAAGGAGAGTCAAGCAGAAGGGACACATAGAACTGGCTGTTTTCATCTCTCTGGAAACCTATTATAGCGCGGAATGGCTGGTCATCTAAAGAAGTAGCCCTGATAACACCAGTGCCCCAATAGCCTAAATATACCTCTGTTCTGGCCCATTTCGAATTTTCCAAATGGCCATTTCTTGCGACTACGTCACATATCCGTGCACCCACCTGGGATACCTTCTGGTAGCCTAAACATCTACCGTACACCAGATGATCTTGATCCTCACGCCAGGGCTGATTGGTCCAAAGCCTTTGCTGCATGGGTACCGGTACGGCACTACCCCTTTGCACTATGGCTTGCTACTCAAGGACCTACCCATGCAAAATGACACTTTGCAATTGCACAGAGAGAGGCAACCGAAGAATGCTCGGTCTTACCGGGACAGGCTCCCACAACCTGAAATCCAAAGTCCCAATCTTTGGACAACCCATTGAGTTAGGTATCCCGTTGGTGCCGTTTCTGAATTCGCTGTGGTGATTGTTGCGTTGAATCTGATTGTGTTCTCTTAGACAGAGCTGAAGCCAGCACTTCCCCTCCGAGCTAGAGCCATTATCAGATGGGGATGTCTTGCTTTTGTTGGTGGGGCCTTTCTTGCGTGTGTTTCGATAATAGTGGGAAATCTACAAGCAAGGAATGGAATTGGCAAGAAAAATCAGCAAAAATTATCCCAGTTCCAAGAGTTGGATTCATATACTACAAACCTTGTTCCTTGCTGCTTCTTGGTCCACTACTTCCCATGCATCATCTTCCCATTTCAAAAACCGGCCATGCGATTCTCGAATAATTGTGACAATGCGTTCAGCAATTGCAGTTTTTTCATACCTCCCAGCTCTCTATTGTCTCGAAACATTCAGCGATATGCCCAGCTCTCACTGCCGTTGATCCTGGTAGACGCTTCCAGAGGCATCAATCGACGGGACAATGATACAGTGTTTTGTTGCCTTTTTCTTCCTCTTGCACAGCTCCGAATCCATTGAACATGATTCTTCAGATTAATGGGTTGTCTGGATGGAATGGGAGACAATCGGTTGGGATGCCAAAGTCTGAATCTTGAGCTCAAAGTCCCAATGACACGTTTTTGCCTAGTTTCTCGGATACATCGATCACAAAGCGATACTGCTCATAGAATGACACACACTTATCCCCTGACCAGCTATCGCTATTGGACATGGTTATGCATATTCTCCAAGGAGATCTGCCTCCATTCCTTTGTGCATCTCAGTTTGGGATCTCATCCAGTATCGCACGCAGCTATGAAGTTTCAACAGAGCAAATTGTCTCGAAACATGTCCGCGATATGCCCAGCTCTCACATTGCCCGTGTGATTCCTGGTATGTCGTCCTTGTCCAAAGAGGACATCAAATCGAGGGACATGTATCAGCTGTATTATGTTGCCTTTTCTTCCTCTTGCAAGCTGAATCATTGAAGATGATTATCCAGATTAATGGGTTCGTCTGGATGGAATGGGAGACAATCGGTTGGGATGCCAAAGGTCTGCAAGTTGAATTTGAGCTGTTCAAAGTCCCCAAAATGGACACGCATTTTAGCTCTCAGTTTCTCCGGCAGCAACCATCGAATGCCACCAACCAATGGACGCAGATATTCTTGGCTCAACAGGATATGGACACCAGCCACCTTGTGCACCCCACCTGACCTGATCGCTTTCATTCGCTGACGTTGGCCAAAAATCTGTTGTTGTAGATTGAGCAGGGATTCTCCAATAAGGCAGATTACCACAACTATGCCACCCCTCTTTGTGCATCCTTTGTGTGGAGATAGCTCATTCCAAAGTATATTTCGGCACGTAGCTATGAGAAGTTGGATCAACAAGAAAGCAAAAGATAGCATTTAGACACAAAAGAACATGATGAGGACAACACTGCATCACAGAATTAGATGTACTTACCTGAGAATCCATTGATACAGAGTTGTCCCTGTAGCCAGGGCATACCACCAAGACCAGACGGCCAGCAGCATCACGCACAGGCAAGAGCTGCCGGATTCCTGATTTGAGAACCTTCATTTCATCTTCACTGAGATCACTCATGAGTAGATTTCTGGCCAAGGCAGGTCCATCACCAAACAGCTCACGTTTGACATCAAAATGCTTTACAATTCGTTGTGCAGAAGACTTCGCATCGAAGTCGTCAGTGCGAAGAAATGTACGCCGAAATCCCTTGTCCATCACATACTCTTCATTCATATACTTGGCTTTTTCATAGGCCTCCCGGCGAGGTATCTTTCGAATTTCCAGCTCCAATTGCTCTAGCAGAGCATCAATATCCTCAGGGTCCTTGGTTTCTTGGGCCATTCCATACAAACTCAAAAGTATTTCGCTCCTTCTCTTCTAACGACAGCTTCTCAATTTCATCGGCCAAGAGCCTATCAACCAAATCTGCCTCATGAGAAGACTGAGGGAAACGATCCAATGAAAGACCTGCCTCCTGAAAGGTCTTGTCTCTTTGAACGTTTGATTCTCGAGCCACCAGGTCTACTCCTGACGATGTGGTATCAAGAGCCAGCAGATCACACACTCCCTGAATGTCTGCAGTGTTCATATCTGTGAATGCGGTATCAGTGATAGGAACAGGATCAACACTGCTGCCGCTGTCGAGCACTGGTAGGAAAGGCTCCATGGTATCTCGAATCTCTCGAATGCCTGAATTATCTGAATCTATACTTCTTCTGCCGAGGAGAGCACAATGATCCAAACCACCGTTTCCTTGAAGTGCAAACGAATAGTTAGTAGATACGTTAAGGAGTGAGGGGGGCTAAGCTATAGGCAGAGCAGCTGCTGCGGTGTTGTGTTGTACTGGGAGAGCATGCAAAGAGGAATAAGTTATGTATGGTTACTGTGGCTGAGAGGGAAAGAGGATGGGAGCGGCAAAAAAGCTTAGGGTTTGCTGTACAGTGTACTAGGGCTATCTACTAGCTAGTACTGGTTTTCTCTTGTACCTGGTAGAAGAGCTCGAACAAGGAGGTACGCGCACGTGTTGTCCTCAACCCTCATTGGACCAAAAAGCGGCTTGACCGCTTTTCTGGCTTCTGGAATGCTCCATAGGATTTGCCCCTGTTCAATGTTTACTGCTGACCTCGCATTTTCTCATCATTTAAAAGGGGGTTTCGAGCTTTGTCCCCTACGATAAAGACCGTCGTTTGGGCCTTGCTTACATGTACGGTACTACAGCAACGACCGCTGGCAAGTCAAACTATACTCGACTGATACGGCAGATTGGCATGTTAGTACTGGTACTGGCGGGCTCCGAGCACTCCACAAACTTCCCGTCCTGCCTCGGAGAGATTGCCTCCAAGTGTTTGACTCGACTCATGCCTGCAGCTGCTATAGTTTTTGAAAAATGCATCTATGTAGAATTATGAGCCTTCACTGTCGAGAGGCGAGTGTATACCGTTGTTTGTCCTAAAATCGTTGCATACCAAATGCGTGTCCTGGCCAACGCAGCATGGCACGAATTGTCTCAATCATTGTGCCACCATCCATTACTACCGTATTCAAGGAGCTTCCGTGGGCGGATCGGCACATTTGCGCATCTGAATCCACGACATTGGGCCGGAGCAGCTGTTGGAAATGCATTCGTAGTCCTCCTTGCACCAGGATCCGTTGTAGAGTTTGTCTTGACAAAAGCTATTAAAGCATTTTTCAGAATCACATTGATCGTGTTCTTCGCACGCGGATCCGGATCCCAACTTTCCATTTTCCATCGCACAGCGTCCCAACACGCAAAGACCATAAACGCAACTTTCGTTTTCCGTACATTCCGAACCCGGCAAGAGCCCGACTTCCATCGTACCATCCTCGTCCATGGTGGCAGGACCACAAACCTTGGCTTCAAGGTTGCAGTGGCCGGAATTGCATTCGTCATCCTCGGTACACCAGTGTCCATCGTCGAACTGCGCCACGGTCATGGGGAAGTTTTCGGCTGGCTGGTTGCCCAGTGCATTCATGCGATTCAGATACGTCTCGATAATGTGAATATTGTAGTTATCGGGGTAGCGAAGCTTGGCATCATTCAAGCCTAGATAGATGAATTGGTTCATTTCGTCCATGATGAAGGATTCTCCGTAATGGCGTCCCTTTTTGGGACTGCCATCCGAAGCGGCATCGTAGACGCCCGCATTGGCGGCGACGATACGGTAAATCTTGGTGCCATCGATATCGTTGCACTCGTTGATAATGGCCCGCAGCGGTCCCAAGGCATATGTGACGGGATCATACTTGCGCATACGCGGATCCAACGAGGCAATGGTGGCCGTGGCCGCTCCCGTGGAGTGACCCGCCAATACGACGGGACAGGGTGCTTCGGTATCGGGAATACAAGATTGGACGCAATCATCCAAGTACTCGCGCATCTCGTCGGCAAAGTTGGTTTCGTAGGCTCGATAAAAGCTGCGACGAACATCACAGTCCGAGCCAAAGACATTGTGCTTGACGAAAGGGCTGAGTGTCTGGATGTAATCCCAAAAGACGTGTCGATTCATTCCCTGAAAGACGAGATAACACACGTTTTCGTCCTTGACGACGAGGGTGCGATCGTTGACACCGTCATCCCAGGCCATGAAACGTTGATACACCTCAGTGTCATAGTACTCGACTTCGTCCATGAGGGTATCCGACTTGACCAAATGGGTCAAATTGCACGAACGTTGGCCTCGTTTGGCAAAATCCTGGGTCCAGGTCGTTTGAAGGGCCGGACGATCTTGAAGACTTCGGGCATTATCCTCTCCCTCGTTACCTCCACGAAGAGACGCCGATGGCTCTACGGCAAAGGTCGGAAGGCTGTTCCATACCAATGCACCGAGAATACCCAGGAAGAATGCTGGACGACGGCAGCTATAGTTGACCATGGTTGAAAGAAGCTTTCTGAATGGATGTTTCTGGAAGAGCGTAGGATAATGGAATGAACTTGTTCTGGCAATAGACTAGCTAGTGTAAGTTTGTTGGCTTCATTTGTTGTTGTCCTCGTCTCCTGGAATAAAATATGCGCACCTTGCCACTTCACAATTCAGTCAAAATTGTGAGCGGAGCTGTTAGGTGTTGGGGGCACAATAATAATGAGCTCGATTATTTAGAGCAAACGACGGTTGCAATGCGCTGCCGCCACTTAACAAATAATAACAATAAAAATAGTTTTGATGACGTTCTACCTTCAGCTAGTCTAGTAGGCTAGAAAAGTGCTGAGTCCTCAGTCGGCAGTCCTCCTTTCGAAGCACCGACTCTATTCCACGGGGTCCTCAGTGCGTCCTCACCATAACAATCACTTCCGTTGCTCTTTGCCGCTGTAATCGGTGTCTATGCACTAGGCCGGTTCCTATGTGGGCGTCCTTGTACGTCTGAGGTACGTGTACTCCGGTTCAATATGGCTCCGTTCAGCGGGTGGTCTATTGAGGTGCAGCCTAAATAATAAAACTTCGTTATTTTTTGGTGTCTATGCAGAGGATCCCAGTTGTTCATCTGTCTGGTATTCCCAGTGCTGAAAATCCCCATACTACACCAATCTATTTGCTGTGTGCAACCTGGCTTCCGTAGATAACCTCCTTACTCTAACCCCCTTATATATTGTAAAGCCTATAGCTTGCTAAATCTATGTAGCAACCGGAAACAAGAAGGGACTCGATCTTGAGCTTGGAAGAAACAACGATGTACAGGCTGGTACATACGGTGCCATTCACCTTGGTTACGTTGCTTCGACCTTCGACCGCACTTTTGTTGAGCATGCTCGTTTGCCTTGCCAAGCCCAGCAGCATAACGGTAAAGGGGTGGTCCCAACATCACTCACTCGAAGCTGAAAACGTCAAAATCTGATCTCGCGGCATGCCAATGGACCGCAGGATCTCAATCATAGTTGTTTCATACATGGGCGAGCCTGACACAGCAACAAACATATCTTCAAAACTGCCATCAACTTCGCCTTCGAGTTTAATGTCTGGTTCCTCCGTGCCTTCGAGTTCAATGTCTGGATCCTCGACGTCCCACAATTTAGGGGATTGCTCCGGGATGGACTCCATCGAGGGACAAGCCGAATGGGCTGATCGACTCACCATTCTCCCGGTCCCTACCTCCTGGATTGCATCATCATCGGTCAGTGATTCCACATCGGTTGCTTCTTTGGTTTCTTGTTCTGCCTTTACCTCCTCGTCCACATTTCTTGGGTCTCCTCCTTCCCCTTCGACCTGGTCCAGTGCAAATCCAGCCTTCTTTTCCTCCACGCGATCAGGAAGAGTGAAACGGAACAGAGACTCGTCATCCGTAAATCCTTGAATACCGCTAACACGCTGCAAGAGACCAGCCCGCAGCATTGCATGTCCTAGTCTCATACCATCTTTCCTGGATGGCTCGTACCCCAAACTGATGAGACAGTCCACAGCCTCCTTCCCAACAAAGCAATCGTTGTGGGTCATCAGCCCCGTGGCATCCTTGTGGTTTGAGACTGTAACGGTTTCCATCAATACACGTGCAATGCCATCCAAGTCGTCCTCCTCCTCTGAAGATGAGGCCGCGCTGCTGAGAGAAGACGCACTGTGATTGGATTCGCGCCACGGTGCTCCCATTGCCTGTTGTTCCTTCGTGCACGCTTCTATGGAGACGAGCAACTCCTCGATAGTGCGCGGATCAATCTGTTTTGAAATGAACTGAGGCTTCTTCTCCCAGAACAACGGGTCAAGACGAACCACATCATCCTGGGGGTTGAATAACTCTGCCTCGAAAGAGTTGTCGTAGTCATCGTGCTGTGCGTAAGCAATGAGGTCCTTGACTTTCGGCTTCTGTTTCTTCCATAGGATGCTGGGCATTGGACGGCTAGATCTCGAATGGGCAGTGGATCCCAAACCCATTGATGAAGCAAAGGGGTCAAGTACAGACGACCTCAAGGCATCAAACACGGAAGACCTGCGACCCAGATCGTTCAAGATGCTTCTCTTCTTTTTGAGTTCAGGTCGATCAACATCCAGTGACGATGAATAAAAGGTGACCCACTTCAACCGACCTCTCGAGTGTTTGACCCGACCTTGAAGTCCCAGCTCCTCATGGTAGTTGTATGCCGAGGACTTGAGTATCCATATGAGAAAGATAGTTGGACAACCGCTCTTACAAGAAAGGTAGTAGTCGATAAGCTGAATCATCGGTACAACACCGGTACCCGATGCAATCAGCACAACAGACTTAAAACGCCCCCCTTCCACTTTGTCCAATACTCTCGAATTGCACTTGGGGCCTTGAGCCAACAGCAGCTTGCCTGCCTTCAATCCCATGATGAACGACGACATATTGCCACCAGGAATTAGACTAATCACAAAGTCAAACGTACTTTCCTCTTCCTTCTTCTCCTTTGCCGCCTCGTTGCTTCTTTCGTCGAATGGTTCAAAAGCTGTTAATATGGACTTTGATGATTCAGCCTGGAGGTTCAGTAGCGATAGCTGACGGCTGTTGGTCGATATGTTCTTGTGATCCAGGAGTAGTGCAGTATATTCTCTCTCGAACATGTTTCCTCTCTTGTCCATTCCACGAAAACGGAATGTGGCCCCTACGTGTAATGAGAGAGAGGTGAGATTTTGGAAAAGAGACGGGTCCGCAGATGTACGTCGGATCAGATTACTCACCGGGAATTTTAGCCACATCTTTCGGTTTGAAATCGTCTTCTTTGCAGCGGGGAAGTGACACACGAAGCAAAATGACCGGCTTCTTATCGTCTTCGTCTTGCAGGGAAGAGGATGATGGCGCCAGGTAACGTACGTCAATGACTTTTCCACGGCGAAAAGCTTTTGATGCCAGGGTACTAGGACGGTGAAGCAACTTCTTGAAAGACTCTTGGAAGGCGAGAGTTGTATCGTGTGGAGACTTGCGATTTTGTAACACATTTGCCAACATGGAACCACGCTGACCCTTTTTAAGCCCCTCTTCGCTTTCTATCAGCTTTGCTTTGACAAACTTCTTCATGAGCGCGACAGCACCCTGGCTATGGACGTGTCGGACTCCATCTACGTCGCGCTTGCCCAGAAATTCATCTGTAATGTCTGAACCCCGCACATCTACAGAGGAGAACAACAAGAAAACACACATTGAGCATACAAACCAAAACAGTCCATGGCGCAAGGAGGTGTCATTTAGAACTCACAGCGCAGAAAATCGGGGCCGCCTGGATGCGAGTCGATGAACTCAGTGATATCAAGCACTCGACCGTCCACAACACAAAGAGAATTGCCCAACCTTGTAACGTCAAGGAATGTAGCCATTGTCATGGTGTCAAGGTTGCTTCCATCATCATCCCACAGACTACCGGCGAGTTCCATTTTCATCTGGGCACTGCCCAATCTTCGCATGCGGATTTCAGCAACCAAGAAAACAACTCCGACAAAGGCAACGTAAGGCCCGTAGATATATTGTCGAATGAAACCAAAGATGTCCATGTTGTATCCCATCGAGTACGAGCTGAAGAGCACAAGCTCGATATTTGAGTCCTCTGGTCCTATTCTGACCAAGCCAGTGTAACAGTTCCACCATGCCAGAGCAATGAATGTGGCACCACCGTACTTGTGAAAGATCATAGTCAACAAATCCGTCTTCTTTCCAATCCTTTGACCTTCCCACTTGAGGTATCGGAATCTCCCTGTTGCAGCCATGAGAAAGAAAACACCCATGATGATCAAACCAACTAGAGCGTGTTCGGCCGTCTTGTCGCTGGCCCCTACCGATGCCTCAACTCCAATAAGCAATGGAACCATCATACTTCCAACAAAACCCATGCAAGAGATGTGAGCCACGAGTCGCCACTTCCGCGTCTTCATGTAGCGGACAACGAAGACTCCCCAGGGAGCAACAACCATCCAACCTGAAAACAGAGCAAGGAACGGTCAGTCTCTTGACGCACATTGGTCCAAATCTGCAAATTGCTAGAGTCTCGCAGAACCGTGTTCTTACCAAACAGCATGAACACTCCATGAGTCGCAATCAAGCCCGCGTCAGCGGTTCCTGCTTCGCTTTCCGTGATGATTCCTGCCTTCAAGTCTACCTGTGCATTGGTCCTTCTTTGGTATCCGTGAGGCCGGCTCAGCGACAGAAGATTGTAGGCAACAATCATGTCCATTTTGTCCTCTTGCGTAGATGACAGCATGAAGCAATCCGAAGCAGCCTCCACATCATCCGCGCAGACCACGGTACGCACCGTCACTGAAGATTGCTGCCGCGAGAGACACCAATCCACAACTTCGAGCGTATAGTAGAGATCATCTCCCGGTTGGGAACATTGCGGTTGGTTGTGGTGCGTCCCTTGGGCGAGACAGCAAGAGAACATGGGTTCTCCACTCAGCGTATTGTTGTTTCCCGAGCAAGCAGCAGCGGGGGGTACGTCCACCTGAAAAAGGCCCGGGTCAATGGTACAAAACCAGATATCAGCACCGTTCATTTGCCGTGCATTCCATCCAATTCCAATGTATCCAGGTCCCTCCATGGGTGCGAACACGGACAGAGTAACGTCAATGGTTGTGTTTGTGGAGGCGTCAGCCGCCTCTTCTATGTGCCATCTTGCAATGTATTCCCCTCTGAAAGAAGCCAACAAAGAAGCCTGTGATGAGTTTCGAGTCGGTCCTTTCCACTACACGGACACACACTACAATAAGACTCACCCCAGAAAGGATAGTTGGTTTGTCCCTCCACCGGACACATCACACGCCCCATCCGATCCAGAGGCGCTGTTGACGGCATCCAGAGTAACAAAGGCATCATCGGGGAACAGCTCCATGTCGTCACATACCAATTTGATCAGCTGCGACATGGTTGGAAAGTTGAGGTATTCCTCTTCCGGGAAGATTGCCTTGTACCTGAAAAAGGCGTGGTTCGTCCGTTCGTCAGTCAATAGTGAATCGTACAAAACGAACACAATAGCGTTCTAGCCTTGACTTACCAGAATCGATCTCCGTCTCGTAATCTCGTGAATTGCTCCTTGAGCGACAGATGGAAGACTGGCCCCATATTATCAATCGATGTATTTTTCGCTTCGGCGACAGCTCCGACGTAAGCATCAACCAGATCCACATCATTGTGATAGAGTGTCTTGAGAGCTGCAATCAATGTCGAATCGTCATGATCATCATCATCATGAGTCATAGTAGTAGTATTGTTGTTGTTGTACGATACTGCACTATTCTTTCCCCGCACCAATTCTTCCATGGACGAGACTCGTTCCAATCCAAAAGCTTCTCTTACGTCATTATAACGCGGCAGTCCGACATCACGTCCCCGTTGAACATCCAACACACTGGTAGCTTCGGCCCAAATGTTCATGTCTTGCACAAAGGATGCATCAATGGCTTTGGCGGGAGTCACGGCAAGTCCTCGCAAAAAGGGCTCGATTCCTCCGTTTTCTCGAATCAGTGCCGGTACATTTTGTTTGAACACTTCTCGCAAGAGCAATGGTTCATTGGGCAGTCCTTGAAATTCTGCGTCCAACATACGAACCAAACTGGAAAAACTGGAATGCGCATACCGAAACGATGCGGCGGCAAAGAATTCGTCAATGGACGGATCGACACGCGGTTGATATCCTTGGTAAGGATCAAGTGTATCACCGAGCAATGTCGGAATGTATTTTTCTTCCACCATCGATTGATATACGGCAATGGTTTTGCGCCGTGCCAGTTCAAATATTTCATCATCCGTTCGACTATTATTGTTGTGTGCGTCGAGTGCATATTCGTCGGCGAGTAAATTGTGATACTTCATCAAGACAATGTAAATGGCGTAGGCGCCCGGGGATGTGTTCATGCCCGATTTCATTTCTTGCGACCAGTGAGATTCCGAGGGGCTGTCGTCTCCCAAATAGAGTCGTCCACCGGGTTGGCGATGACGCCTCGAAAACTCGGCATCCATTCCGTAAATGTTGGAGAGATCCAAAAAGGACGTCATGTGATTCATGGTGGCCCGAGTGGTGGTTGTGGTGGTGCTATTCCCCTTGCCATTGCCCACATAGTCCGTTACCTGGTAGTGCGAATCGCGTAAAAAGGGAATGGAATGAATATGACCGTGATCGTTTTTGGCGCCGTATATTTGGTCGAGGGAATACGCCTTGTTGGTGGCGGGACAAAAGACGTAATCGGTCAAATTGCCATCGCAGGGGATATCAAAGGGTTCACTGGTATTGGCCGTGCTACCCAGAATATCTTGTACCATGAAATGTCCAAACTCGAGTAGCATGTGGGATGCCGTCTTGTCGTCATGCGGCTGGACGGTGTGAAAGATTTCTTCCATGATGCGACGGGCCGACGGGAGATTGGAGTTGACTTCGTCCAGGGGTGTATTGTCGTCTTGATAAAAACCAGATTCCGGAGGATACTCGCGAATGCGGGGAGAATTGATAGAACCCCAGTGGGGATTATGCAAGTTGTTGTTCCAGCCATTGTCTATACCGTACAAAACAAGATAACCAGTGAGATACCCCTGGGGTATACTACCCTACCATAGCATAATAGCTGGAGGTATACACAGCAGAGCAGAGCAGAGCAGACTTACAAGAGCGATATTCCGTCTCCAAGCTGGAAACCAAGCTTAACATGCACAGCAAGAGCAGCAGCCATCTTCTGGAATGGAAATGGAGACTGATGGCATGGGTAGCAGTACGTGCTGATATTCTTCGGTCTTCTTTCACTGGCTCGGCTCGTCGTCTTGGACAAAGGGTATCATTGTCATTGTCCGTCTCTTTTCTTATCTTGGCTTCTAAGGGCTTGGCATCATTATCATCATCGTGGGTATCTCTTCTACTGGTAGAGGTCATTGCCTCCAATTCCCACATGGTGTCTGTGCTTGTGTTGGAACAACGGCAGGAAAATATCGCTGCAATTCTTGGCCCGTCAAATGGGGGATAATGGAGTGGTCCCACTAATTTTTGTCAAAGACCATGCTTCCCTAACCATCCGTTACATGTGGATTATTGCCTCTCCATACAGCAGAGCCGGATTCACTAAATCTTAAAGTGCTCCACATGTTGCCATCCTCGCAACGAGGAAACTTCGGCTCGTGTCTGGGGATCAAAGAAAAAGTCCAAGAAAGCAAACGCAAAAAGACAAATCTCGTTGCACGGGCCGCAATTGAGCCACCGTCAACCCCTTCCAGTCTCTCTCTCCAGCGACCTCCGCAAAAGCAGAAGATTGTTGGCGTGGCACTAGCTAGCTAGCTAGACTCGACTCGACTCTACTAGCTATAGCCAGCTAGCTCCCAAATGGGGTATATACAGTACCTACATGCACCTCTCCCATTGCTGACCCGCCTTCACCGTTGCTGCCCTCCAAAAGACTCGACTCGTGCTGGCTAGCTACTAGCTGGTCTTTGCCAGCTACGCGGCACAGGGAGCGCATCCAATGGCGCTATCAAATAACCATCCTGGCCAGCCAGCCAGAATGATCAATCCGGTGCAAAACGTGTGCTACCAGAGCCCCCATGTTGCAAGCAACATTGCTGTACGAGTGTACCATGTACCGGTACTATTGTTCCGTGAACCTAGCTACAGCCAGTAGGTGGTACCAGTATCATTCACTTCAAATGTATCACTTTTAGTTCTTAGTTTCACATGTAGACAACAAACAAGGTTCCAATTGCAACCATGCTTCCACTTTCTGGAGGGGAAAGGTGCGATGGAGCCACTGTGGGCCATCCACTGACACAGCAACAGCAGCAGCAGCTTCCACACAGCTTCCTCCTCACCATTCCTCTAACGGTCCAGACATCTCAACCACTGCATTAATTAAAAAGCTCCATGGACATTGGCAACCTCCAAGTCACCCATGGCAATCACATCAAAGATGCACATGTCTTTCATTTCTTCATCCTTGTGGTGAGCACAGGCAATCTCGGCAGCATCCATAGAGATGGTCTCCTCCAAACGACGGCCCTTGGTGGCTGCAGGGGGGACACAGGTCTTGCCAGGGAACTGGGATGGAGTTTGGAAGAGCTGGGGTTCACTGGGGAGGACTTGCCATTCCTGGCCAAACAAGTCGTGATCCTCAACCTGAAAGACAGTACTTCCATCCCTTCCAACCAAGGTGCCATCAAGCTTGCCAATCAAACCAACACTGCTTCCAAAGTTGGCATCAGTGGGATTCTCCACAGCTACAGAAACCATGTCCTTGAAGGTGGTAACTTTGATAGCCTCAGTTTCACCAGTCTTGATAGTAAACACATGCTCTTTGAAACTCTTTTCCTCGCGGAAAACTAAAAACTGTCCAGCCATCTCAGCAGGCATGTCTGCATGAGAAACACCATCCAGCAAATACTCTCCAAAGCTAGAAACCTCCAGAGTAGAATCGCCAATCTTGATGGCAGCTGTCTCGATAAAAGAGTACTCGTAGCGTGCCTTGGTACGAATGTGGATGGTCAAACCAAGTCCATCAGCAAAGTTCTCGTCATCCACAAGCACAAGGTCACAGATACCATGGAAATCAAACCAGGTGCCATTACATGTCTTTAGCCAGCCAGACAAAGGAGAAGAGAGTCAACAAATAAATTTCAATAATTGAATTGGTGGTCATTGCTTGACATGCTTTCTACTGCTTGCTTACCTTGAAGTGGGGATCACCACCACCTCCAGCAGTTCCATGTCCAGTGCATGGCTCATCTTTGCAGCAAGCGTTATAATGCCAATTGTCAACTGGATCACCGCTATTCGCGCTTCCTGTGTTCGCCCCCCACCAGGGGCAAGTGCCAGCAGCATCTTTGTGCTTCGAGCATGAATAGGTGATAGAGCTAGGATCGGCACCCAGTAGAACCCAAGCATTGTTTTGGCAGCTGCTGCCACTGTCCGCAACAGCTGCCCATTGCAACCAAGGACTACCTTGTGACCCAGGGTAGAGATGAGGGGTGCTGGATTGACCACCTGGGCAAAGCTCACTGTAGGAACATGTTCGTAAGCCTTGATCTGTGCAGTAGGTATTGGAGTCTGACCAACTTGGTTGGACACGCAGTCCTGAGTCAAACCAGTGTGTAGAATAACAATGAGGAGACTGTGCAACTGGTGTCACTGGAGCAGGTGTGCCAGGGACGGGGGCAGGCGTGACTGGAGCAGGTGTAACTGGGGCAGGCGTAACTGGTGCAGGTGTAACTGGGGCCGGTGTAACTGGTGCAGGTGTAACTGGGGCAGGCGTGAGAGGGGCAGTCCAGGGGAGGATAGTAAAGTCACCGAAGAGTGCATGGGCAGGGATAGCCGATGCAAACAGAAAAAGAGCAAGAACAGATAACTTCATGGCGAGCTTTGGGTTTAGTTTGGGCAACTGAAACTGATGGCAAATTTCGTTTCCTTTGTTTGCGGGCTTCAGATTGTGAGCCAGTTGAAATTGTGGGCTTCAGATCGATGTGAGCCTGTTGGAAAAACGACGTATGGATGGCTTTGAATGACTGACATCTTCGATCTTTGCTTGACAATTTCGTGCTTCTTCAAACAGGGGTTCCCTTCTTTATTTTGTTACGTACGTGGCGTTCGCCAGCTTAAGTGCTGGTAGTGCTCCTTCTGCGAGTAGTGCCTTATTCCACCACCTCACAATCTTGAAAATGTGTCAGATGTCACCAAGGATCCTTCACGGTGCTCGGCATTTTATCAGAAAAAAAAATGCAGAGTAGCCCTGTCCACAGTTTCCCTCTACTGCCGGTTCTGTGCTTCTTTTTTGTGGATATTGAAGATTCGATTCGATTGAAAATTCAATCCGCGGTTCCTCCATGGTACTTTTGGAAAGTTGGAAATACCGCAGGTAACAAAGTTAAAAGTAAAAAAAGAACGCGGCTCGAGTTTGACTATTGACAAATAATGGAGCTTTTCCATTCAAGTTTTAGTGTTTCTTCTTTTCCGTTTCTCAAGACTTTTACAGGTTACACGGATTTAACAGGTTGTTACCTGTACTCGGGGACGGCGAAGAGGTGCATGGTACTGGTATCAGTTCAGGGGACATGAATTAACGCAGATTCGATACACTGAGTTCTCGATCTTTCAATCTTCTCAAGACGAACGCGGCATCACAACCACGAGCGGTCCAACAAGAGCACCATCCCGAGACGATGTCATCCCTGACAGCAACTATATGAGACTTATGGCTCTTTGATTTCTAGGTGACGGTGAAGATCGCCAAATTCCTGGTGAGTCACGCACAGAGCTGCCAGGTGAAACTATCTATTTATAGAATTGCAATTATGAGGTTTACTAGGTCACGCCTCTAACATGTTTAAATCTGTTTCTGAAGACTGGTACTGTATGCATGAATTCAACTCGTTGAATCAAAGCTCAATCGATAAATCCTGTCACGGATGTTAGCTAGTAATACTGCAGCTTATTGGGGAGTAATTTGGTTTTAGATTAAGCTGAAAAGCAA